ATGTAAAACACAGAGGTCATGAAAGACCTGTACCAAGAGCTAAAAGCACTTAGTGTACCTCTTGGCTATTTTTAGAGTGTGGAGCTATATGTAGTTAGTGTGGGGTTTTCAGTGTCTGACAGTTCTTTATGTTTATTTAAGCATATTTGTGTTTACTTTCAGAATTTCCTTTCCCTCTATAATGCCTTTCTTGTAGTGGGCATGCCAGTGGGCCCTTATTCATTCAGCAAGACATCACTCCAGTCACAGGAGTACACTCTGCACTCCTTTAAGGTATCCTGATATAGATTCCAACTCAAAAAAAAAAAAAGAAAATGACTGACAGTGGTGGGAAACTATTGGGGGGAGGGGAAGGAAGATGGGATTCACGGTAGTAAATATATGTCTTGGGATGGGGAGACACCTCTTATCAACAAGGGTGCCTGAACGGAGCATATTTGTATACCTAACCCTTAACTGTACCCCACAATATCATTAAAAAAATTGATTAAAAAAATTGATTCATGAGGGATCTGCCCCCATGACACAGCTCTCATTGAGCACTACGTCCATCATTGGGGTCAACTTATAATGTGAGGTTATATGTTCTAATATAATAGAATACCATTCGACCGTGAAAGAATAAAATTCTATCCTTCGCAGCCACGTGGATGAGCCTAGAGGACATTAAGTTAAGCAAAGCAAATCAGCCACAGCAAGTTCCCACTCATGTAGAAGCTAAAATAATTTTCTTTAGTTCATGAAAAACAGAGACATAATTGTGGGTACTAGAAACTGGGAAATGGGTCAGGCACAGTGACTCATGCCTACAATCCCAACACTTTGGGAGACCAAGGCTGGAGGATAGCTTGAAACCAGGAGTTCAAGAACAACCTGGTCAACAAAGCAGGACCCTGTCACTATAAAAATTGCTTTTTAACTAGCTGCACATGGTGGCATGTGCCTATAAATTCCAGCTATTTAGGAGGCTGAGGAGGGAGAATTGCTTGAGCACAGGAGTTTGAGGCTGCAGTGAGCTATGATCACACCACTGTACTACAGCCTGGGCGACAGAGTAAGATCCTATCTCTTAAAAAAAAGGTGGGGGGAAGAAACTAGGAAAAGTAGGCGAATAGGAGAGATTGATTAACATATATAAAATAACAGCTAGCCAGGAAGAATGAGTTCTGGTGTTCTGCAGCCCTGTAGGGTGAATTTGATTAACTAAGTTATTGCATACTTTCAAAAAACAAGAAGAGAGGATTTTGAATGTTCACAACATGAAGAAATAATTAATCGTTTAATAAAAATGATAAAGGTGAAGGATTATCTTGATTTGCTCATTAGACATTTTGTATACACGGCAAAATAAATTTACAACTACAATAAATTGAAAACTTCTGTTTAACAAAACATATTTTTAAGAAAATGGGAAGACACACCACAGGTGGAAGAAGATATTTTCTTTTCCTTTTTTTTTTTTTTTTTTTGAGTTGAAGTTTCACTCTGTCGCCCAGGCTGGAGTGCAGTGGCATGCTCACAGCCACCACAACCTCGACCTGCTAGGCTCAGGCGATCCTTCTGCCTCAGCCTTCCAAGTAGCTGGAACTACAGGCATGTGCCATCATGCCTGGTTAATTTTTTTTTAATTTATTGTAGAGACAAGATCTTGTCATGTTGCCCAGGCTGGTCTCTAACCCGTGGGCTCAGGCAATCCTCTCACCTCTGCCTCCCAAGGTGCTGGGATTACAGGTGTGAGCCACTGCACCTGGCGAAGAAGATATTTTCAATGCACGTCACTAAAAAAGAGCTCACATCTAGAATATATAAAAAGAATTTCTATCAATAAATAAGTAAAGAATAATTAACTGGATAGAAAAATGTATCAAATACCTACAGTCTCCTCATAAAAAAGGAAATGCAAGTGTTCAATAAACATCTGAGAAGTCAATCTCATTAGTAATCAAAAAAAAGTAAATTAGAACAAAAAATTAAGACACTACTGTGTGGCCACCAAGTTGAAACATATTGAAATATCTGACAACACTGAATTATCTTTCACAAGGTCAGGGGGCACTACCAGTGGGAGAGGAACTGGGAGAATTATTGGAAAACAGTTTGGTATGAAGAACGTATAGCCTATGATGCAGCAGATCTCAAAATAAATGCATCCACATATGTGCAAGAGATATAAAGAAATGTTCATAGTAGCTTTAATCAAAAGAACCAAAATCTGGACACAATCTAATTGTCAATTTGTACTAAAATGACATGCAAGATATAGTATATTTATATAATTGAGTACAACAGTGTAAATGAACAGTATACAATTATTACAACAACTTGGATGAACTTCAAACTATATTGGTAATTGAAAGCATGCAGTTTGATAACATTTACATACATTTTATTTTATCTTCTTTTTAATTTTTTTATTTTAAAGATGTGGGGTACAATTCAGGGGTTAAGTACACAAATGTTCATTATGCAGGTACTCTTGTTGATGAGTGTGTCCCTCCTTCCAGCAGAATCCCACTACTGCCAATCCCACCCACTCCCCGGAAATTTCCCACTACTGACAATCCTTTTCTTATAATATTATAATTGTTCAAGGGACACTTATGAGTGAGTACATGTGATACTCAGTTCTTTGTTTCTGTGACAAATCATTCAGTATTATAGATTCTAAGTCCATCCAAGTTACTGTGACGTTCATAATTTTGTCCTTCTTTATGACTGCATAATATTCCATCATGTGTATGTACCACATTTTTTTAATCCAGTCCTCTTTTGATGGGCAGCATGGTTGGTTCCAGGTTTTGCTATTGTGAGCAATGCCTCAATTAACCTGAGTGTACAGGTATTTTTTTCATAGAGTGATTTGAGTTTCTCTGGACATATTCACAGTAGAGGGATTGCAGGGTCATATGGAAGGTTGATTTTTAGGAATCGCTAAGCTATTTTCCACAGAGGCTATACTAGTTTACACTCCCACCAACAGTGTAGAATTGTCCTCCTTTCCCCATATCCTCTATTGCATCTGTTGTTTTGTGAGTTATTGTTGATGGCCATCCTGACTGGAGTTAGGTGGTATCTTAACTGGTTTTAATTTGCATTTCTTTGATGACTATGAGGCAGAGCATTTTTGCATGTATCTGTTGGCTGCTCATATGTCTTCTTTTGAGAAGTGCCTATTCATATCTTTTGCCCTTTGTAATGGGGCTGTTTGTTTTTTCTTTTCAGCACATTTGAGTTCTTTGTAGATCCTAAATGTTAGGCCTTTGTCAGATATACAGTTGGCAAATATTTTTTCCCAGTCCATGAGCTGTCTCCCTGCTCTCTTGATGGTTTCTTTGGCTTTGTAGAAACTTGTCAGTTTGATGAAGTCCCACTTGTCTATCTTATCTCTTATGGCATGGGCACTTGGGGATTTGATTAGGAATTGGTTGTCTGTTCCAATTTCCATAAAATGTCTCCTACATTTTCTAATGTTCTTACAGTTTGAGGTTTTATGTTTAGATCTTTGATCCATTTAGAGTTGACTTTTGTATATGGTGATAGGTAGGGATCCTGTTTTAATCTTCTGCATGTGGTCAGCCACTTTTCCCAGCACCATTTACTGAATAGGTTCTCCTCTCCCCAGTGGTTGGTGGTGGAGGCTTTGTCAAAGATGAGTTGGTTGAGAAACTGAGGTTTTGCTTCTGGAATCTCAATCCTGTTCCATTGATCTATATGCCTGTTCTTGTGCCAATACCAGGTTGTTTTGATTTTTGTAGCTTTATCATAAAGTTTAAAGTTTGGGTGTGTAATTAACCCTGTTTGTCTTTTTCTTTTTTTTCTGAGAATCGTCTTGGCTATTTGTGGTCATTGATGTTTCCATATGAATTACTGTAATGCCGTTTCCAGGTCTGAGAAGAATGCTGCTGGCAATTTAATGGGTATTGCATTAAATCTGTAAATTGCCTTGAGAAGAATGGACATCTTAACAATGCTGATTCTTCCAATCCATGAGTATGGTGTATTCTTCCATTTGTTTGTGTCATCATTGATTTGTTTGAGCAGTGTTTTGTAGTTTTTGTTACAAAGATCTTTCACTCTCTGGTTAGGAAGATGCCAAGGTATTTCATTTATTTGTGGTTATTGTGGATGGGATTGTGCTTTTTATTTGGGTTTCTGTTTGTTTATTGTTGGTATATTTATGCAAATTTAAAAATCAGCAGAATGAAAGAATAGAATTTGAGAAAGTGAACATTTACAATTTCTTTTCTGTGAGATTGTTCGTGTATTTGAGACCTATATAATGAAATTATAATAAAATTTTTTTGGTTGAGGAAGGGGATTATCGCTGAGAAAGGACACACAGGGATGCTGAGTCACTAGAAATTTTTTTTATCTTTATCTATGCAGTGGCTACATGGTTACATGCAGTTTGCTATATAACAGTTCATTAGATTGCTTATTTTTAAGCAATCTAGGTACTCTAAGTTGAATTTTTATACTCAACTAGTTAAAATATTATGTAAATGAACATATTTGCAAATTACGTATGTCTGCATGCATTGATATTTATAAATGCCAATAAATAAAATTATTATAGACAAGAGCTCACCAAAAAATCTTGAAAAAAAAATCTCAAAAGTAGGCATACACACACACACTCAAAGAAAAATGCAAACATTCTGTCAAATGACTGAAAGCATTGTATCCTGTGAGATAGTCAAAGTGTCATATGTACAAGTTACAGCTGACTTCTTCATTAGGCAAACTAGCATTAGGGGTATTCACTGGCTGGGGGGGGGCTACAAGATCTGCTGACAGGAGAGACCCAGAAAAATACATAGCAGTGCTTTCTCCTTTAAGGTCCTCAGCTTCCCTATCAGCACGTTGTGAATGCTAGGTTACATGGTCTGTGGGATATAAATTGAACAAAATGCCTAAGTGCAGAATTCTGAATTACAGATGGAAGAGAGGAGAATAAGAAGAAATTAGAGATGATTATGCATTGCACTTCTAATGCAAAGATGGAGATAATGAAGCTAAAAATAGGGAAGGGTCCTGCCCACTTTATTACGGAACATCAAAAGTAGGAGAAACAGGCCGGGCTCGATGGCTCAGCCTGTAATCCCGCACCTTGGGAGCCTGAGGTGAGTGGATTGCCTGAGCCCATGGGTTCGAGACCTGCCTGGGCAACTTGGCGAGACCTCATCTCTACAATAAATCAAAAAAAAATAGCTGGGCGTGGTAGCTCATGCCTGTAGTTTCAGCTACTCGGAATGCTGAGGCAGAAGGATCGCTGGATCCCAGCAAGTCGAGGCTGCGGTGGCTGGGAGCGGCCTCTGCACTCCAGTCTGGGTGACAGAGTGAGACTCCAACTCAAAAAAAAAAAAGGTAGGAGAAACAGAGCTGCCTGTCTAAGGTACTTGCTGTGGTTTGAATGTGTTTGCTAGAAAGCATGTATTGGAAATTCAATCGCCATTGTAACAGTATTTAGAAGTAGGACTCATAAGAGGTGATTACGTCATGAGGGCTCTGCTCTCACACATAGATTAATGCTTTTATCACAAGCACTAATTTTATAATGGATATGTGTGTGTTTGTGTAACTTTATTTTATTATAGCGATGTGGGGTACAAGTCAGAATTAAGTACATAAGTAATCTACATGCAGGTAATGTTTGGGCCTCCAACTGGTCCTCAATTCCCCTGGTTTAGGATCAGGTTCCCTTTGTGCTTTTTTTTTGTTTTGTTTGGAGTATGAGTCTCTTTCTGTCACCGAGCCTGAAGTGCAATGGCACACTCACGGCCACCACAGCCTTGATCTACGGGGCTCAGGTGATCCTTCTGCCTCAGCCTTCCAAGTAGCTAGAACCATAAGCGCACATCACCATGCCCAACTAGTTTTTTTATTTATTGTAGAGATGAGGTCTCACCAAGTTGCTCGGGCTGGTCTCAAATCCCTGGACTCAGGCAATCCTCTTACCCCGGCCTCCCAAAGTGCTGAGATTACAGGCTTGTGCCACCACACCTGGCCCCCTTTGTGTTTTTATGTGCCTCACTCCCTCCCCTGCCAGTGTCTCACAAGTGCTGATCCCTCCCTTGGGCTATTGAGATCAATCAGGTCCCACTTATGAGAGAACATGTGATATTCAGTTCTTGGTTTCTGTGATAGATCACTATGGATGATTGTCTCCAACTCCTTCCAATTTTCTATGAAGAGCATGATTTTGTCCTTCTTTATGACTGTAATATTCCATCATGCATATGTACATTTTCTTTATCCAGTTCATTTTCAAAGGGGAATGGGGTTGGTTCCATGTTTTTGCTATTGTGAACAGTGCAGCAATAAACATGCTTGTGCAGATGTCTTTTTTGTAGAACAATTTATGTTCCTCTGGGTATATTCCTAGAAGGGGGAGTGGATTGTATGGAAGGTCAATTTCTAGTTCCTTTGGAAGTCGTTACATTGTTTTCCATAGAGGTTGGACTAGCTTGCACTCCCACCAACAGTGTAGAATCATCCCCTTTTCTTCACACCTGTGGCAGTATCAGTTGTTTTTTTTTTATTTATTATTGATGGCCTTCCTTACAGGAGTTAGGTGGTATCTTAGTATAGCATTGATTTGCATTTCTCTGATGATTAGTGAGGCTGAGCCTTTTTTTTTTAATGTATCCACTCTTTTGCGGTGTCTATTCATGTCTATTCATATCCTCTGCCCATTTTTAATAGGACTGTGTTTTTTTCCTTTAAGCTTATTGAGTTCCTTGTAGATCCTGGATATTGGACCTTTGTCAGATACAGAATTAGCAAATATTTTACCCATTTTTTTGTGTTGTCTTCTCATTCTCTTGATGGTTTCTTTTGCTGTGTGGAAGCTTTTCAGTTTGACGAAGTCCCACTTGTCTATCTTATCTTTTATGGCATTTGTTTTGGAAGATTTAATCAGGAATTGGTTGCCTACTCCCACATGCATTGTGTTTCCTCCATTTTCTTCTAGGATTCTTACAGTTTGAAGTTACATTTAGGTCTTTGATCCATTTGTAGTTGAATTTTGTATATAGTGATAGGTAGGAGTCCTGTTTCATTTTTCTGCATGTGGTCAGTCAGTTTTCCCAGCACCATTTGCTAAATAAAGCCTACTCTCCCCAGTGGTTGTTACTGATGACTTTGTTGAAGATGAGGTGGTTAAGAGATAGAGTTTTTGCTTCCAGAATCTCTGTCCTGTTCTATTGGTCTATATACCTGTTCTTGTACCACTACCAGGCTGTTTTTATTATTGTAGCCTTATGGTAAAGTTTAAAGTCTGGGAGTGTGATATCTGCCACTTTGTTCTTTTTGCTGAGGATTGTTTTGGCTATTTGTGCTTTTTTGTTTGTTTCCATATGAATTTCTGTATTGTCATTTCCAGGTCTGAAAAGAATGATCTTGGTTATTTGATGGGTATTGCATTGAATCTGTAGATTGCCTTGGGCAGGATGGACATCTTGACAATAATGATTCTTGACAATAACGATTCTTCCAATCCATGAAAAAGGGAAGTTTTTCCATCTGATTGTGCCACCTTTTATTTCTTTGAGCAGTGTTTTGTAGTTCTCATTGTAAAGGTCTTTCACTTCTCTGGTTAGGTAGACACCAAGGTATTTCATTTTTTCGTGGCTGTTGTAAATGGAATTGTGTTTTTTATTTGGTTCTCTGCCTGTTTGTTGCTGGTGTATAGAAATGCAACTGTTTTTTGCACATGGATTTTGTACCCCAAAACTTTAAAGTCATTTATCAGCACAAGGAGGTTTTTAATGAATTCTCTTGGGTTTTCAAGGTATAGGATCATATCGTAGGATCATATCATCCACAAAGAGGGATAGAATAACTTCCTCTTTTCCTATTTGGATACCCCTGATTTCCTTCTCTTGCCTGACTTATCAACACTATGTTGAACCACAGGAGTGAGAATGGGCAACCTTGTCTTATTTCTGTTTACGGGGTGAATGCTTACAACTCTATTCATTGAGCAATATGTTGACTGTAGGTTGACCGTAGATGTCTTTTACTGTTTTGAGCAATGTTCCTTCTGTGCCTAAGTGTTCAGGGGTTTTTATCAAGAAGGGATGTTGGATTTTGTAGATAGATTTTTTCTACATCTAATGATGCAATCGTGTGGTTCTTGTTTTTACATCTTTTAATGTATTGAATTACATTTATGGTTGCTGATGTTGAACCAGCCCTGCACCCTGAAAATGAAGCCTACTTGGTCATGGTGGATGATTCTTAAGATGTGTTATTGGATCTGATTTCTTAGAATCTTATTAAGAATTTGTACATCTATGTTCATCAAGGAGATTGCTTATAATTATTTTTCCTTGTTGGGTCTTTGTCAAGTTTGGGTATCAGTGTGATATTAACTTCATAAAATGATTTGGGAGAGTCCATCTTTCTCAGTGGTCTGGAATACTTTCAATAAGATTAGTATCAGCTCTTCCTTGTATATTTTGTAGAATTCTGTTGGAAAGCCATCTGGTCTAGGAATTTTTTTTTTTTTTTTGGTAGGTAGATATCTTATGATGGAGTTGATTTCCTGAATTGTTATTGGTCTGCTTAGGGTTTCAATTTCTTCTTGTTTCAACTTTGTAAGGTTGTGTGATGTCAAAAAGCCTTCCATTTCCATTAGGTTTCAAGTTTATTTCCATACAGGTGTACATGGTAATTGCTGATAATCGTTTTAATTTCTTTGAAGTCAGTTGTGACTTCATGTTTTGCATTTCTGATTGCATTTATTTGGGTTTTCTCTCTTTTTCTTAGTCAATCTGGCTATGGGACAATTAACCTTATTTATTTTTTCCAAGAACCAGTTTTTATCTTGTTTATTTTTTCTATGATATTTTTATCTTCTATGCCCTGCAGTTGTGACTTTATTTTGGTGATCTGGATTCTTCTACTTAAGTTGGGATTTTAGTGGTCTTGCCTTTCTGACTCCCTTAGGTATGATGTTAGGCTATTTACTTGTGATCTTTCTGTTTTCTTGATGTATGTTTGCAGAGCTATAAATTTCACACTTAATACTGATTTCGTGGCATCTAAGAGATTCTGATGTGTCTTCATTTTATTTGTTTCCAGGAATCTTTTAATTTCTGTCTTGATTTCTGTGTTGATGCAGAAGTTGTTGAGCAGTATGTCGTTTAGTGACCGTGTCTTTGTGTGTTTTGGGGAAATCTTTTTGGTGGCAATATTTATTTTTATTCCACTGTGATCTGAGAAAATGCATATTATTTCTTTTTTTTATCGATATTTTTTATTTTGATGTTGTAGGGTACAGTTAAGGGTTAGGTATACAAATATGCTTCATTCAGGCCCCCTTGTTGATAACTGGTGTCTCACCGTCTCCAGACAGATGTTTACTACCATTAGTCCCATTCCCCCCCATAGTTTCCCAACACTGTCAGTCATTTTCTTATAGTAGTGCATTGGATGATCAAGGTCCACTATATGAGTGAGAATATGTGGTAGTCAGATCTTTGTTTCTGTGAGAGGTCACTTAGTATTATAGACTCTAGCTCCATCCAGGTTG